AAAAAAAAAAAAAAAACCCACAAAATTTTAATTGTGAAACATCATAAACGAAGTTTTATAAAATACAGAGTTAGAAGAATAACATTAAAAAAAGCATTCTGCCATATCTTTGAAGTTTCTGGGTATGTGTTTCCTGGTCACACTCCTTTTCTACCTTTCAGGGAAAAATGCCTGTTGAGCCTGTACTCTCTCTGTTAAGTTTTACCACCTGCCCATGTATCCCTAATAACAGTCTTTTACTCAGTTTTGTCTCAAAACTTTTAAATAAACTGAATCATAAAGTAGGGACAACATATCAAGGCATATTATTGCTATGTGTTGTCTATATTTAAATATTCGGTTGCAAATTAGAAGGAAACATTATCTCAATGTTACCTGGAGTAAAAAACTGCATGTAACATCAGTCCGTTGAAGTGGGAATGCTCATTACAAAAGTGAAAACATAATTATTCTCAAAGTTATTAATTTTATCAGTAATGAATGTTTTAAAATATTTCAGTTAAATAAACAGAAACAAACAATGACAATAAACAAATATTCAGTACATATATTAAATATCATTTCAGTTTTGAGCTGACAACTGTTTATCACATTTAAATAATGCCAGGTAGATCCATCAAAATTAGGTTACATCTTAATTCTAGCCTATAAAGAACTGTTTGGTATACCAATGTTCACAGCATTAAACAGTGCTTTAGGACTCATGTTTAGTCTTTAATTTCATTTCTTCAAGAAAAAGTACCAATAAGAAGTTTTTACCTCCTATGAAAATTAATTAAAAACCAAATGTCAAGATTAATGTTGCCTTAAAATTTTACAGGAGAGAAAAGAACTTCAGAATCATGTGTATTCATAAGTCATCTTTGATCTACATATGATACAGAATATAAAATTTATGAAGTATTTAGAGACAAAGAGTTACCTAAGTACATTTTGCTTTTGGTAATTAAATTTCAAAACATGCATTTGTTAGAATGCTTTAAGATCTCATTATAAATAAGTCTGGTGGTTAAACATATAATAGAAAATCATATAAAAATGCTTCCTGTAGACCACTAACCTTTGTAAGTAATTAAAAACAGAATTTTTAATGTTCCTCAAGTTTGGAGTCCTAGGTATAAGGTTCCTTATAGAAACATTACTAAAAAGCTCTATTATACTTTACTAAAAGAAATTAAATGTGCTTCTTCCCCTTCTTGTATTTACTCAGGCAGACACAATCAGAACAACTTAAGTCTGAAAGCGTCATACACTGATGAATTCAACTCTGCTAAAAATATCTGATTGAAAAATATTTATAAAACAGAAGAAAAAAGTTATGCAATTATCAGTGACAAATACAATTAGAAAATGATTTAGGAATCAGAAACATTCAATGTTTCACTCAGACTTTTCAACTGCTTGCTATGAGCTGAGAAATAGCAACTCTTATTATCAAAGATAAGCTACCAGGGAACATTTACTTACATGCTATGTTCACACAAGATGTATGGCAAATACTATGTTTTGTTCAAGCTGCCTAAACAGAAAGATGCTTTGGAAAGAACAAATTTTAACGCTGACTTACTAACAACTAGTGTTGGCTTAATGGTTGATTTATCAAACCAACTAAAAAATAACCTATCCACATACCCCTGATTATGCAAAGACTTTTTACAAGAGAGAGGTGTGAAGACTTTCCACTCATTCTGCTCTATGAAAGCCAAAATACAGATGAAAATTCACAGACAAACCTATTGTCTTGACAGCCATTACTCCACTGCCAAATTTCCAGATCCAAATATCTAAGATCTTGAGTGACTGTGTGAAGCAACAAGTGTGTACATTAGTATTTTTAAAAACCCCACAAAATAAGGCAATATTAAGTGGGAGAAACTTATAAATCACCTGCAAGCATGATGAAACTTTAGTTTGTGGGATAACATCAAGGAAATGGCAATACTGCCATTAATAAAACTTCCAAGTTCAGGGTATTGAGATGACAAAGGTTTTCCTTCAGTCAGTTACTATTAGAGAGGGAACTTCAACGTCACAGCAGCTACACCACCCTCAGCAGTACATTCAATACTAGCAACAATAGCTGAAAAATATCTTATGATTTCACCAACCTTTGTTGATTCAATTAAGGCTATGTGGAATTACAGATGTAATTGCAGAGACCACAATATCAATCTAGCACATAACTATGATGAGGAATAATTGTTCCTAACACTGTATCAACATTTTAGTGTAGATATTAAATTTCTCAATAAATTGTAACAACTACAGTTCTCTCTCATATCCTAAACACTTACTCTATGATGGTAAAATAAGGTCCCAGCCTCATACTGATTCTACATTAAACCATTTGGCCTTCAGATAAAAAGTATTAAATAGACATCTAGTTTTAATTCAAATCTCCTAAAAGTTGGCATCTTAAGATTCTAAGTTTGAATTTTAAATATCATTCTGAATATTTTTCAAATATCTGGTGTGAAATAATGAGCTGATCCACCCATAACATTAAAATTCTAAAATCAAATTAATAGATTCTTGGGTAATAGGCCCTGGCAACTCATAGTAGAAAGACATATTTAGCATTCAGTTCCCAGATTGCCCTAAAGTATTATACCCAAAGTTAAGAGGGCAAAGAGTTACCCCAGTAATACCTACTTGTAG